ATATTAAAAAGGAGGAGAGAATTTAACATAGTTTAATTAAATGTTTTACTTTTGTTGGCGATGCCAAAGTTTGTACATCCATTCAAACTCTTAGTCTTTGTGCAAATTCATCACTTCGTAAAAACAAACCAAATAAGTAGACCATTTCTGTGAATTTTTCTCAGGCTCATCCTTAGACACCAAATCAAGACGAGATTAGATTGGTTAATTTAGGACCTGGGGCCGTATTAAATAAATGCTTTATCTTAAGCCTTAATTTCAGATCTGACAAGTTAAACAGGACATTTAAAGATCCTAACTAAAATTGTTATGTGACAAAAAGATAAGATAGTCTGTAATGCGTCCCTAAGGTTATTTTCTGAGATAGAGATTAGATTAGATTAGATTAGATTAGAGCAGGGGTGGTTAACCTTTTCCAGCACAGAGACCCCTTAATATAAAAATTATATATATATATATATTTTTTTTCAACAATGTGTAATAACTCTAATTTATTTAATTTAAAAATTCAATTTATAAAACATTTTTCTTTGAGTGTCCAGTCTGTCCACAGACTCCTTGACTCTCTGGTTGAAATCCCTGCGATTAGATGGTTTCGAGGGGAAAAGAGCATTGTTGCATTGTTCTGCATGGCTGTTGTCAAAAAGCCCACATGGTGCTGGAGTGAAAGCTGTGAAGATCAGAGGTCTAGTCTTTGAATGTGAGTATTCTGAGCTGCATTTCATGCACTACGGACTGCATAGATGTCCATTGGACAATCCTTTTAAAGCTAATGCTAAGTAATGTGCACTTATAGAATATTAAAAGGTATTTATTTATGTTTGATTATGAATCAAAGAAAAAAATTGACAATCAATCTAGATATATTTGAATATCTTATTGAGTACTACATTTTACTTTCAAACCATTGTTTAAAAAAACCGCCTCCACAAATAGCTACAGTCTTCTGGGTGTCCATGGTGATTAAACTAAGTCATTTCAGATCTTTAATCACCATTCTTGCTCACAGCTTCAGTTCCTGAAACAGTTTGACTAATAATAGTTCATTTAGAATGATTGGAGTAATGAATAGATTAGCTAGACTGAAAGGAAAGTCAGGTAGAAGTGCTTGTTTTAACAGCATGTGGTGTTTTTACACCTCTGAGTAAGAATCCTTGAAAACTGGACTCTGTAATAATGGGACCCCGCTGTGTGTACACTACATTACGCACGGTATACGTTTAAACAGAAAGAGTAAATCAATTCTGTCATCTTTTTCAACACATTTGCTATTGTGAGTGCAGGCTAAAAAACAAGCCATGTTTAATTAGTATTGTTCAATAACAAATGAGCTGCAAACGTTTATGAGACATTTTCTCCTTTATTTTCAAAGTAAGCCGGGGGCAAAGCAACAAGAAACAATGTAGATCTACAAATTACTATTTAAAATATAAATTAGTTTAATGACAGATTGTACAGTGTAACAATTGGCAGATTAACAACAGAAAATAAATGAAAAGAAACACTTTATGTAATAGGTTGTGGATTACAAAACTTTTCAGTCACCGAATTGAATCCATCAACTGAAAGATTTGGAACAGCAGCATTTATGGCATTCATTGACCAATTCTCTAACAGTCTCAATCGAACTCAATTTTACACTGCTGTAAAAGCTGTTTACTGACCTTGCTGCTTTACACATATTCAGACATTTTTAGACGAAGAGCATTTCTTCCACCAAAATGAAATGCTATAAACACTAAACTAATCATATCACACATTCTCAGTGAAACCTCACAAAGAAAACTGATTGCATTTAGCCACTAGACAATTTTTATAAGCCTTACAGCACAACAACATCAGACAAATTAGCCGCAAGCTAATAGTAATTAACATCAACAACATTTGCTGAGTTTTTACATTTCCATGGACTATTTCCATTTAATGGTGAGCACTTGTGATACTTCCTCAGTCATGTAAACATGGGGGAAAGGGCTTGAAACAGAATGCTATAGCTTACTTCTTACTGAATACTGAGCAGTGTGCACTGTATGTTGCCTGTTATTGTTTTTTTATTAACAAAAGGAAGTGGAACATAAGGCATTATTGCACAATAAACATTTCAAGCAGTAGTATGCTACATTGGTGATGACCTAATCACTATAACATGTTAGTACATCCAGCAGGTTTGAGCAAAATTCAGAATTGAATTCAAGCCAACATTCAATCCATGAAAAAGTTCAATGCCTTGCTTTACTTAGTCATTTCAATTCTACTTCTTTATATTCAAATTGCAATTACTATGCATCCTGTTTACAACTTTCAAATTCAGAAAGTAAAATGGAATTGAAAAGGCATTCTCAATTCTTAATGGTGAACAAACCTGGCATTCATTTATCAGCTTAGAAATAAAGACTGTATTTTGCTTTTTCTGTGCTTTGTTAACTCGTCACATAATGTGCACAGTAAACGGTACATTCACGGTAAGCCTATGTTGTATGCTATCCCAAAAATAACCCATGACCCAAGTTACATGACAGGGCTTTGGTCACTGCACCCAATTCAGTTTTGTTTTTCCAATCCAATTTTATCTTTAGGACTAATGGTCTGCACTATAATTTGCTAAAATTGGAAATTGGATCCATTTGTTCAGATTACCGTAGAAATAACTACATGTATTTAGTTCGGATGAGCCATAAAAGATAGATTTTTGATCTGGTTTATACAGTACGTAATATTTGTGAATTCTCAAACACAATCACAAAACAAAACTTTCCCCCCCTGGCCAAAGACTCATCCAAAGTGTAACCAGATTTTAAAGGACTCAACCAGTCAAAGTGAAACAATAATTATGCATATTAAATCTATTTACACAAAGAGAAAGACACTCAACAGAAGAAATTGACAAATCTTAAATTTTAACGGACCATAATTAGCCATAGACATACAGTTTTTCACTTTTACAGTTCTGCTCATAAATTCTTGCAGAATATGCAAGATTAAAATAAATTAGAGGAATATTTTTTTTTATTATTGTATCTAAATCTAAAAAGTAATTCGAATGCAAAATTTTTAGTTGTGATATAGCTAATTGCGACAATATATGTTGTTGTAGTAGTAGGGAGCTCTATTTTATAATTATACCAGACACTGATGCAAATTCTCTTTCAGTTTATCAGTTTATCTTTTTACTTAGTTTTTATTCTCTGTGCACTGTCAGAGAGGGTAGACCTTATTTCTTCTTTTTTTTCTGATTGACTTTGTCATGGGAAATCTGTCTTTAGTAGTTCAAACTATAAGGAGTTATTACGTTTTTTTATATTCTGGAGTAGTCAAGAGATGATGTGCAATTATTATTAAATTGAGCGGTATAATCTGTGTAGTTCTCCAAATCCATATGAAGGCAGCAGACAGATGACAAGAGAGGTCAAAACTCACTGAGCAAATTGAACGGACCCCCATTAAGAGAAACCTGATTTGAAGTGAATGATGGGCTTCATTAGCATCGCAAATGTTTTTAATAAGCATTCTTACTCTACAAACACTTGAAATTTCTTTTTAGAGTTGTTGAGAAAATATTTGTATAAAAATAAGCTTTATTTTTTGTCATTAATGTGCTGACACCTGAAAGCAACGAATTGAGCAAAGCTGGACACTTTCTAACAAATAAAAAAAAGACATTTCTGCATTTCTGATGTATAGCTACCAGTTTCCCAATGTCATGAAATCAATAAAAGTCATTAAAAGATCTTTAAGGCCCAAGGTGAGCCCAACTGGTTAAAAAAAAGGATGATGATTATGTCACAATCGATCATTTAGACATAACTGTCACCATAGCATACGACTTGCACTTTGCAGGTAAAGAACGGTTAGATGTTATTTGATGTCATAGTTACAAAATATGTCCTTCCTTTCAAGTGTTAATGAGCTCTTTTTTACTCTGTTCTTTGGGGTCATTTAAAGATGTTTTTTTAATGAAAGAAGTCGCTGGGCCTGTGTTTGACTTGTCTTCCGTGGTGTGATAAACTATGATACAATATAAACTAGGTCTATATGTGACCATTCTCAAAGGACCAGGTGCAAATTATGACACATAGTCTCAGCCCAAGAAAACGGTTAGAATTAATTTACACTTTTAAGGTAACACTTGTAGAATGGAGGAAAAACACCTCCTTATAGAGATAATGGAATGAATTTATCATATTCATTCACTTTACAGTCCATTTACATTCATCTTGCTATTACAGCATTAAGTATATAATTAGACACCAGGTACCAAGCCAGACTTTACATAAGCCTCTTAAAGCCACAGTCAGACCTATTAGGACGCATGAAAAACACAGTGAACACTAAAATATAAACATTTGAGTCATAGTCACGGATTGTGCTTATTCCTCGCATCTTTGCCACCCTGCTGTTCTGTTTTCTCTCATAGTGAACTACAGTAGCTATATCAAATATGACATATGGCATCTTTCCCCTTTGGTAGTAACCATATGTGTTCACTCCAATGGTTTTCACAACAGTGATAAAATCACTGATTTACATAATAAAGGACATACACAAATACAATATATAAAATACAATGTTGATTTCAGGAAACATTTGTGCAACTGTGCAATACCGTCTTGAGAAAAGATAAACACGGCCAATTTAGTGATCGCAGCTTGTTGCCTGATCTGAGAAAAACTGTCAGGCTTACACGTCATTTCACAGACTCCAATTCAAATATCAGAAATGTTTTGTACAAGATTAAAATGTTTGAAATTGATTTGTTACCAAGTATCCCACAGATTTCCCTGTTGTTTAGACTAGATGCTTATTTTAAATATATAACTTTTTTTTGTTGTTGCATGAATTTGGTGAATTAAAATCTTTTAATTGCAAATTAAATTCTGTTGAAAAGCTAAAGTTTGTAAACAAATGCTTTACAAAGCAATATGTGACTTCATATGACTTCAACCTCCTTTAACATTGCTCTCGTTTGCACTTTCCAGGAAACAAAATAGAGCTTGAGAATTTTGAGTCCAAAAATAAGTTCATTCAGCCTTTGAGTGTTTCAAGTGTTTTCACATACATTTTCTGATGAGATTAGTACTGACTTGATCTAATGATCTCACTTTTCATATCTCACTTTAAAGATCACAGATTAAAGATCTGTGGAGTCTCAACTGCCCACAACCAGAGTCCATTAATCGCATAAATAATCCATCTATTCATCCCAGGCTTGGTTTTTACCCCCTCTGATGGGACTCTCTGGCTCCTCCATCTGAAAGACTTTTTGGTTTGTGACCACTTTTATCCCAGATCCCGCACTGGATCCTGTGTCATTGGAGCAGGCCGAGTTATTACAAAGCCGGCCAGTTCTCCTGTGCTCCAACTCCAGACACGTCCCCGAGTTCTTCAGATCGCCGTCATTGTAGACCCGGTTCCTTGCACCGAAATTCAGGGGATTGGAGTTGACCGCAGGATCCCTTACGTCTCCTCCTGCTTTCCGTTGCATTCCTCTCTTCACAGACATTCCCTCGCAGCAGCACGAATGCGTACTGCACACCGCCTGAAAGCTCCTCTTGAAGTTCTCATTGTAGTATCCGTAGATGATGGGATTGACGCTAGAGTTTGAGAAGGCCAACCAGTGAGCGAATGGGAACACGTAGCCGCTAAGCATCTCCAAGTCGTCTTCGTTCAGACCTCCGTAGTCCGTGAGGAGCATCAGGGTCCACAGAGGCAGCCAGGAGAGTGTGAATAACAGAGCCACGACGCTCAGCATCTTGATCACTTTGATCTTCTTTTGGGAAATGAGGGGCCGGCCTTTCTGCTGCGCTCCAGGAGCCGGAGGGGAGGTGTGAGACTGTCCGCTTTCGTGCTGATCGTTCCCAGAGATCACAGAGGTGGTGTAGAGTTTGATCCCGATACGTCCATACATAAGCGTGATCAAGGTGAGGGGGATAAGGTAAATGTGTGCAAACAGGACGGTGGTGTAGACTTTTCTCATCTGTGGGTTGGCCCAGTTCTCAAAGCATGAGAAAAGTTTGTATGTGTGGTTGTAGTCTTCATTGTGGACCATGTAATGATGCTCCACTCTCTCCACAGTCAACATCACAGCTGATGGACACATAATCACCACCGCAAGCACCCAGATCATCACTATGGTCACCTTAGCAACCAGTAGGGTGAGTTTAGGTTGGAAAGGGTACACAATGCAACGGAACCTGGAGGAGATTGGAACAGAGCTCTTTACAGCTGGAATAAATCCATCAGGCATAAACTGTACACCAATGTCAGTTAATCCTCTGCCTTTTTCTATAATTATTTTCTCCCGCTTACTTCCCCCTTTGTCGTATTTTATCATTATGAAATGGAAAATCAAAATGTCCTTGATATTTACACATATAAGAGGTTGCTCTACAACAAAAGCATAGTTGTTCTATACCTCAAAACAAACTCCCCAGTTTAAAATTATTTGCTTGCACCCTTCTGAAATGCCAGGATTTAAAAATTGCCCCAGTCATGACGTTACGATTTTTCTTTATTTTTATTGCCAATATATATATATAATATGTGTGCGTGTGTGTGTGTATCACACTATGGCAATTCAAAGTTTAAGTTTGCTTAGAAAATAAGCACAAAGGAATGTTTGGAAATGTAAACCGATATTTCCTACTGACGCACTACAAGAAATAAATGGCTTAAAACCATTTGTGTGTGTGAAAATACTAATGAGTCTAAGACTTTTGCACAGTACTGTATTAATTTCAAACATTTTAATAAAAATATTTTGTTTAATCTCTTTATTTCATTTCAAATATATATAATTTAGAATTGGATTTTAAAATATTATTGACAAGTTTCATCAGATTCAAGTAATGACACCACTGACCTGTCCACTGCAATGGCCACCAGTGTAAACACAGAGGCAGACACAGACATACCCTGTACCAGACCACTCATCTTACAGACTGTGTTTGTGAAAGGCCAACCTTGGAGGAAAAAAAGAGAGAGAAAAAGTAATGATTGACAAGGTAAATTGGGCTTCACACAACCCCCTCAAAACACACACACACACTTTCAGGAGAGCGAGATATAGAAAAATAGCTGAAAGTAGAGTGAGAGTAAATGATTCTTCTCGATTTATCAGCAGGCTGTCTAAGCTGAACTTGGGAACTGTAATATAAGAGGAGTTTAAAAAAAGTATCCTCAAACTTTTCAAGATGCCACAGTAATATTATTGTGCGTTTAAGAGTTTATAAATATGCTGAAATGAATGAGTGTCTCCCTGGGCATGACTCAAGGCCTTCAGCATTTTATACACCGTTAAACATACTGCGGACTAGAAGAAATATATAGTGTTGCAATGCTATCACCTGTGGACATGATCAGGTTGCATCGTGAAAGATCTGGATCTGTTTCCTATACCTTTGCTTTTTCATTCAGGGCATAAAACATGAAACGAGTTTCTTGGTCAAAATGATAGAGTGCTCATATTATTGATAACAAAAATTACGTGTCATCACATGTTCTGCAAAAAAATGCAGTCGAATGTGCAGTTTATTTAAAAGATGTTTTTTTTTTTTGTGCACACAAGTAAATACATCTTAAGTGCAAATATGAGTGAAAGAAACCTAATGCTTTAATCTGGGAGCACCTTTACAGCCTGAGGCAGTAGTAATGTAGTTTCACAATATCCAGGTCACTATTTGTGTACTGTGCGAATGATTATGTGATCATCTCTAAAGCAACTAGAGATGCTGCATGCGGGCTTATCACAATGGACACTTTGGTGAGCCACGAATAAAAAGATAGAGCTCTTAGTTCTCTAAAAGCACACAGGAGTAGTGTTATGCTTATAGAGGGTTGATGAAGTAGATGTGAAGTCATTATTGCAATCAACCCAGACTCATTAATCAGGATCTTGTATCATACTGAAATAATTTTCTATAAAGACTGTCTGGCTAAACATGATCCTGTTTATAGAGATGTGCAGGGAGGACATAAACCTGGAAGACAGTGGTTCCCTCGATATTTTCCTATGGTTTTTTATAAGGTAGTTTTTCAGTTTACGAGTAAAATAAGGTCTATAAACACAAGTTGACGATGCATGGACGTTTTGTTCTACAAAGTAAATTACACACACTCAAACATTTTTATCCAATTAATTATTAAAAAACACGTTTTTTTTTAAAATAAACATAATTCTAAACATATTCAGATATTGTAACAGCATGAGGGAGAATATACCAGTTACCTCCAAAAAACTCACCTGTTGGTACACATAATGGTACAACAGGCAAACATACAGCTCAAAGACGGATGACACAGAACATGGAGACATGTTGCTTCAGCTAAATAAGAAAATGTTATGTAAACCAAATGTTAAGATAAACTTGAAATTGCAATATATATATATACACTCACCGGCCACTTTATTAGGTACCCCATGCTAGTAACGGGTTGGACCCCCTTTTGCCTTCAGAACTGCCTCAATTCTTCGTGGCATAGATTCAACAAGGTGCTGGAAGCATTCCTCAGGGAGTTTGGTCCATATTGACATGATGGCATCACACAGTTGCCGCAGATTTGTCGGCTGCACATCCATGATGCGAATCTCCCGTTCCACCACATCCCAAAGATGCTCTATTGGGTTGAGATCTGGTGACTGTGGAGGCCATTTTAGTACAGTGAACTCATTGTCATGTTCAAGAAACCAATTTGAAATGATTAGAGCTTTGTGACATGGTGGAAGTAGCCATCAGAGGATGGGTACATGGTGGCCATAAAGGGATGGACATGGTCAGAAACAATGCTCAGGTAGGCCGTGGCATTTAAACGATGCCCAATTGGCACTAAGGGGCCTAAAGTGTGCCAGGAAAACATCCCCCACACCATTACACCACCACCACCAGCCTGCACAGTGGTAACAAGGCATGATGGTTCCATGTTCTCATTCTGTTTACGCCAAATTCTGACTCTAACATCTGAATGTCTCAACAGAAATCGAGACTCATCAGACCAGGCAACATTTTTCCAGTCTTCAACTGTTCAATTTTGGTGAGCTCTTGCAAATTGTAGCCACTTTTTCCTATTTGTAGTGGAGATGACTGGTACCCGGTGGGGTCTTCTGCTGTTGTAGCCCATCCGCCTCAAGGTTGTGCGTGTTGTGGCTTCACAAATGCTTTGCTGCATACCTCGGTTGTAACAAGTGGTTATTTCAGTCACTGTTGCCCTTCTATCAGCTCGAACCAGTCTGGCCATTCTCCTCTGACCTCTGGCATCAACAAGGCATTTCCGCCCACAGAACTGCCGCTCACTGGATGTTTTTTCTTTTTCGGACCATTCTCTGTAAACCCTAGAGATGGTTGTGCGTGAAAATCCCAGTAGATTAGCAGTTTCTGAAATACTCAGACCAGCCCTTCTGGCACCAACAATCATGCCACGTTCAAAGTCACTCAAATCAACTTTCTTCCCCATACTGATGCTCGGTTTGAATTGCAGGAGATTGTCTTGACCATGTCTACATGCCTAAATGCACTGAGTTGCCGCCATGTGATTGGCTGCTTAGAAATTAAGTGTTAACGAGCAGTTGGACAGGTGTACCTAATAAAGTGGCCGGTGAGTGTATATATGCATATTAATCATTGTTAAATATAGAAACAATGTATAAGATAAAATTAGTTTAGATTTGAGATTAAAATGAATAGAGATTATTGGTTGTGAACCCATACTGTAGTGCAACCTGGAAGAAAGCTGAAGAATCAGATGTTCTGAGTTATTCCATGCGCCCTCTGAAGTTGATTGAAGCCTTTGTCAAGTTGGAGCAGACATTAAGGCTGAGAATCCCAGTATAACTTGACACCATATGGGTTGTATATACAAAGACAGAAAGAGGTGGATTAACTTTACTCCACACTAAGCAATGTATTTTCTTTCAGCACTTTGAGTCACTGCAGAGCTTAAAAGGCTGTAACTGTTAAAGTGAAAAGACCAGCTCACAACAGAAATGCTCAGAACACACTCTCTCCCCCTTCTCTTTGTCAGAATGCATTATAATAGCTTATAAATAACATCTATTTACCAAGCAGGTGATGGTATGTTCTGAGAATCCCAGTATAACTTGACACCAAATGGGTTGTATATAAAAAGACAGAAAGAGCCGGATTAACTTTACTCCACACTAAGCAATGTATTTTCTTTCAGCACGTTGAGTCACTGCAGAGCTTAAAAGGCTGTAACTGTTAAAGTGAAAAGACCAGCTCACAACAGAAATGCTCAGAACATACCATCACCTGCTTGGTAAATAGATGTTATTTATAAGCTATTATAATGCATTCTGACAAAGAGAAGGGGAACCATGGAGAGAGTGTGGGGGAAAGGCTTGTTGAAGTGACCTTCCATACTATCCATCAGTCTATTTCCTGGCTGCTGCATTTCATTGATCAATCAGAGGTGATTTTATTCACAATCAATCCAACTGCATTTAGAGTTATTCATTTTGCAGGTACTTTTATCCAAAGAAACTTACAAATGAGCCCTTTTGGGCTCGTTGAACAAGTTGACAAGACTTGCTGCAGCGTTCTGAATCATTTGTAGAGGTTTGATTGCACATGATGGAAGTCCAGCCAGAAGAGCATTGCAGTAATCAAGCCTAGAAATGACCAGGGCCTGGACGAGAAGTTGTGCTGCATGCTCAGTTAGGAAGGGCCTGATCTTCATGATGTTGTGTAGTGCAAACCTGATTGACCGAGCTGTCTTTGCACTGTGGTCTTTGAAGGTCAGCTGGTCTTCAAAGATTACTCCAAGATTTATGGCCGACCTTGATGGGGTGATTGATGATAAACCTAGCTGGATGGTAAAATCGTGCTGTAGAGTCGGATTAGCAGGCAATATGAGAAGCTCAGTCTTTGCCAGGTTGAGCTGCAGGTGATGTTCTTTCATCCATTTCATCAAAGCTTGAGATTAGTGCAGCTACTGTGGGATCATCTGGTTAAATTAAAGGTAGAGCTGTGTGTGATCAGCATAGCAATGGTAGGAGAAACCATGTGCCTGTATGATGGTCCCCAGTGATGTAGTGTATATGGAGAAGAGGAGGGGCCCAAAAACTGAACCCTGAGGAACCCCTGTTGATGTGCTTTGGATACCTCCCCTATAAAGATGCTACCTGGTTGAATTTGTTCAAGTGTTTTCGCTATTATGGTATGGGAGAGATAGGTCTGTAACTATCTACAAATGTTTAATGTGGGTTTTTGAAGCTGCAGGGTTACCCAAGCCTGCTTGAATGCGGTAGGGAAAATCCCAGCGCATTGGTGATATCTATTGTGTTTTAAACAGTCAATCAAATGACCTTCATCAATTTAAACAGAAAACAAAGTCAACAAAAACAAATATGAACCAAAAGTTATATAACAACCTATTGATTAATGAAATAAGCTTCTTGACAAGTCTTTTCTCTTAAATGTATTTGAAAACGAAACAAAGCAATGCCAACTTACCCATTATAGAGTACTTTGTCTGTAAACACGCCGTACGCGTCAAACGCTGCCAGTATGAAAGCAAAACGCGCGTGTCCTGCTTCCGCTCACCGTACGCACTGCTCCTGCGCTGCTTACGCTCTGCTAACGTGTGCAGTGTGAAACCGGCGTAAGAGAGATGGTTTGTAGAAGGTGTGAGGGGATGGGATAGGGGGCAGGTGACTGGAGAGAAAATAAGCATTTAACACTCATGTGATTAAAGAAAAAACATTGAGGATATACTACTCATTGTTGCCGATTTGCCTGAGTTTTATTTATTGTTAACCAATTAGCAAGAAATTTCATTGGATTAAATGTGTTAGTTTTATTAATAGTAATCGCCTAAAATGGGCTTATTTAAAATGTGCTAATGCAACATGATTTTCAATCTGTTTTCATTGCATTCAATCCACTTGAATTAAATACATTAATTTAAATTAATTTTCTCAACAAAGTGTTTCCAACTTAGTTTTTCGTGATATTTGAAGTATCAACCTAAAAATTATGCGCTGAAGTTAAATGGAAAAATATTGTGTTGACATTTGCAAAAAATAATCGATAATTGCCATTTTAATCAGTTATATCGTCAAACATTTTGATGCGCTTAACCTTTTTTCACTCCAAACTCTGCCAAACAGACCAATCTGAGGAAGGAGGAGAGAGAGAGAGGGAGGGAGGGAGGGAGGGAGGGAGGGAGGGTGGGGACTCTGGAGGAGGACGAGGAGCAGGCAGAATAAGACACCATTGAGACGATGACCTGGGAGGAGCCAGGATAGAGACAGGAGGGACCAGAGCATAGATGGGAGGAGCAGGAGGATGACCCAGAGCCATAACATGAAGGACCACGATGGAGTGTTGGTAGAGGAGCCAGGTGGAACCAAGGGAGACTGCTGACTGGGGTAGATATGGTGGAGTTTGAGACCAAGAGTTTGAGCGGAGCTGAGGGTGATGCCAAAAGCCTGGAGGGCCACGGTGGAGTGGCAGGCAAGTGTAACTGAGGTGGAGGCATTGGCTTGACAGACCGTGGCGGAGACTGTGGAATGAGGACAATGGAGGAAGGTGTAGATCCAGAAGCAGATACAGATGGGTCCGTGCAGCAGAGTGGAACAACTGGAGGAGCTGAATGGTGACAGCGGAGACGAGGCAGATGAACTGGATGGCGTTGGCAGTGGAGGAGGGAGAGGGAGGCTGAGCATCTGCGACGAAGGAGACTTGGTACTGGGCATAACCAGTGACAACTTGGAAATATCCAGTGATGACTGAAACAATGAGGAACTGTCTGGGAGTGGAGGTAACTGAAGTACAACAAAAGTATGTAAAGCATGTAATACATTAATCCAGCTCTGATTAAATACCTCATCCTCAGCCGCAGGAGGGTGGGCAGGGCTCGTATTCAAGCCGACAAACTCCACTAAAATGCCATCGATGATGACTGACGCTGTTGCCAGCAAACACACCTGGATTGACTCTGCATTGGACTAGGGCTCCGGGATGAAGACTGCCTCTGGTGATCGCTCGATCTTTGTGGCAGGCTCAGGCTCCGAGTCAATAAAACAAGACAGAGAAAGCTCGTACAAACACAATCCACGTAAAGTTAACACGAGACTATGAACTAAGGGAGAAATTTAGACTTTAATACACAGAGGAAGGACTTCAACGGAACAGGAAACGGGTGTGAAACTAATACATTGCCACGTGTACTATGCTAGACTAACTGGGACTTGTCACAACAGGTGCATATTGTTGGTTTGATTGCTTCTATTGTTCTCCTCATTTGTAAGTTGCTTTGGATAAAAGCATCTACTAAGTGATTAAATATAAATTTAATTAGAGATCATGACTACGAATGAATGAATTAGAACTCAGGCAAAACAGACAATGATGACCATGACTAAAACTAAAGACAAAAATTAAACCTGACTGTGATAGAAACACTGTTCAATATATCTTCTTTTATATTCTGATGATGAAAAAAAGACAACCTCAAATAAGAGGACAGCGCTTGTATAAAAAAGATGATGAGAACACAGAAGTTGAAAGAAAATATTCAGTGGTTGAAAACTTTTAGTATGCACAGATTCAGATTTGCATTTGTATGCATTGTAGTTAACACTCATTCACTTAACACAGGTTTATGTATAATCTCATGCTATCCCCTGCATGGCTCACCTGTTGTCCAGCAAACAGGCTGTGTCTTCCAAATATTTTTCCTATTATACATTAGAATCCATTATTCATTTTTAAGCCATTATCCATGCCTTTCCAAATAAAGTATTCAACTTCGGGCACTGATGCTGTGTCCTTGCAGTGAGCAAGGACTGCATGCCAACTAGCAAAAAAAGCTAAAGAGCGTTTGCAGTTCTGACCGAAATCCAGCATTTGATGAGCTTTTTGTTCTACTGAGCCAAATAGCAAGAACTGACATACACTCACCGGCCACTTTATTAGGTACCCCATGCTAGTAACGGGTTGGACCCCCTTTTGCCTTCAGAACTGCCTCAATTCTTCGTGGCATAGATTCAACAAGGTGCTGGAAGCATTCCTCAGGGAGTTTGGTCCATATTGACATGATGGCATCACACAGTTGCCGCAGATTTGTCGGCTGCACATCCATGATGCGAATCTCCCGTTCCACCACATCCCAAAGATGCTCTATTGGGTTGAGATCTGGTGACTGTGGAGGCCATTTTAGTACAGTGAACTCATTGTCATGTTCAAGAAACCAATTTGAAATGATTAGAGCTTTGTGACATGGTGGAAGTAGCCATCAGAGGATGGGTACATGGTGGCCATAAAGGGATGGACATGGTCAGAAACAATGCTCAGGTAGGCCGTGGCATTTAAACGATGCCCAATTGGCACTAAGGGGCCTAAAGTGTGCCAGGAAAACATCCCCCACACCATTACACCACCACCACCAGCCTGCACAGTGGTAACAAGGCATGATGGTTCCATGTTCTCATTCTGTTTACGCCAAATTCTGACTCTAACATCTGAATGTCTCAACAGAAATCGAGACTCATCAGACCAGGCAACATTTTTCCAGTCTTCAACTGTTCAATTTTGGTGAGCTCTTGCAAATTGTAGCCTCTTTTTCCTATTTGTAGTGGAGATGAGTGGTGCCCGGTGGAGTCTTCTGCTGTTGTAGCCCATCCGCCTCAAGGTTGTGCGTGTTGTGGCTTCACAAATGCTTTGCTGCATACCTCGGTTGTAACGAGTGGTTATTTCAGTCACTGTTGCCCTTCTATCAGCTCGAACCAGTCTGGCCATTCTCCTCTGACCTCTGGCATCAACAAGGCATTTCCGCCCACAGAACTGCCGCTCACTGGATGTTTTTTCTTTTTCGGACCATTCTCTGTAAACCCTAGAGATGGTTGTGCGTGAAAATCCCAGTAGATTAGCAGTTTCTGAAATACTCAGACCAGCCCTTCTGGCACCAACAATCATGCCACGTTCAAAGTCACTCAAATCAACTTTCTTCCCCATACTGATGCTCGGTTTGAACTGCAGGAGATTGTCTTGACCATGTCTACATGCCTAAATGCACTGAGTTGCCGCCATGTGATTGGCTGCTTAGAAATTAAGTGTTAACGAGCAGTTGGACAGGTGTACCTAATAAAGTGGCCGGTGAGTGTATATGCAGCAGCTAGTAAATGTCAGAATAGGTCAATGCTGTAGGAGTATTAGCTCTAGACTTAGAACTGTGGGATTGAGATACAACCCAGCATAATGCATGAACGCGCTAACTGGGGAAACAACTCAGGGTTCACTGCAGTAATAAGAGACTTGCTCTGTGGAGAAATGCTCAAAAGATGTGCTACATAGCCATGAGCGGTGGAAAAATGTTTTTAGTGGTCAAGGCAAAAGACAGGATTGTTTTTTTTCTCTCTCCTTCACATGTTTGTGTCAGTGTAGTGATGTGTTTTACCTGTAATGAGGTTATCCACCAGGGTTGTTGGGATACAGAAGACGCCCACCAGAAGGTCACTAACGGCCAGGTTGAGGATGAAGAGGTTCGTGACCGTTCTCATCTGCCGGTTCTTCAGCACAATCAGACATACCAAGCCATTTCCCACCATGCACAACAGGAAGATGAAGAGGTAGGCCGTTGTCAGGGTGGCAGCGACAGACAGAGAGTGCTGGTAATATGGGTAGTAGGTGATACTAGTGTGGTTGGTGACATTACTGTGGTTTGCGTAAGCATTCAGGAGACTGCTGTTCAAATTGAGTGTGGAAAGCTCCTGCAACATCTCCACTTCTGCTAGCTCATCCTCCATGCTGTCACAGAGTTCTTCTTGCAATGCTGGTTGCAGAAAGCACCTGAGGGTGAACAAATTGCACACACACCACAGTAGAGCCAATTCAAAACAGTAATGTCAAAACAGAGACAATAATGACTTTTCATTGTAAAATGCGTCAGGCTTTATGTGAAGTCAGTTTCAACAGGAAAGCTTGTGCATCTGATGCATGGCGTATGAATGCTTTCCAGCACCTTCAGATTCATCAGCAGCCTTAGCTCTTATAGACTGTCGTTGTACATTTTTCTGTGATTTTATACATAGTGAGTTTAGAACAATGCATGCTATTGTGAAAACACATGAAGACTACATTTGCATTTCTAGAAAATAAATTGCCAGAGCTTGCAAGGCAGTAAAAAATATGCATGAAAGAAAGTTTATATTGCTTTGGATTGCGTTCTGAAGGGAGGGTGGGATCTTATGCTTTCAAAGCTATAGCTTCCCTGCTGAAAAATCCAGTATAAACCAGCATGGATTCAATGCTGGTTTATGCTGGTTAGTGATGGTATAGCTGGTGGACCAGCATATCCATACTGTTCTCAAGCAGAGATGGGGACTCGAGTCTGAGACTCGGACTTGAGTCGCACTTAAGTCGCACAAACAGCTGACTTCAGACTTGACCTTGAGACTCGACCCAAAAGACTTCAGACTTGACTTGCGACTCGACACAAATTACTTCAGACTTGAGCTTAAAGACTCGTCAACAACCTGTTTTCATGCAATTATTGCTTTTTAAATCTAAAATCATTAACGTATTTCTATTTTCTTTTATTGGCGCATATACGTTGGGAAATCGTATGATGAGCTGCATGCCGTGTCCCCTGCCCTTTGCCATACTCTGCAACGTGCATGCGCTATGCCTATGTGCACGCCGCGCACACTCACATATCATAAAATGCATTGACGAGACTTGACTTGGACTTCCAAAAAATGACTTGTGAACATCTCTGTTCTCAAGCAAACAGGAGCTGGTGGAGCTAGTTCACCAGCATGGTCTTGCGGGTGTGAGTAGGCTAGCTGTCTGAATCCTTTTTTTGTCTCCTTTTTATCTTCTGTGATTCTGTTTGTTAACTGCATGTTCAATCATCAATTGTAGAGTGAATCTACACTTTATTTCACTAACTGCAACATTGATTTCATGTTACTTTTACTCTCTATAGATTGGGACCATATGAAAGTGTTTGTTTAACACTTTGAATTGTACTGTATACCAGTAACCAGCAACATGCGTTCTTCTTTATTAAATGATTTATAAAAATGTATTTGGAAATTTGTCTAAAATAACTACGAACACACACTAAGAAACATATGTAACGCATACACAAGTTTTGTTGTGGCCTTTTTTGGATCATATGAGCACCCCAAAGACAACATATGCTGGTTAACCCTACCTTTAAATATTGTCTGTATGTTCAGCAGTTTGGGCTGAAATAATTTCAGAAGTTGAATAGGATAAAGGGTTAAGAACAAACCTCTGGCTAGAATGCTTAAGGAATATCAAAAGAGTGCAGTCTTAAGCCTCACTCACACTACAGGAGTTTTAGGCCGATTTATGCCCGATTTACCCCTCCCGAGAATCGGAGAAAAAATTTTGTCGAGGACCTCGATCGGTTCCGATGTTCGGCACAGATTATCTGGTAATGTGAAGCGTTCACAGATCGAATCTTGCACCTCCCGATCTGCTCTCACACAAATCGGGCTCGCCCCGATCATATCAAACATGTTTGATATTTATTGGGATGAGCAAGATTGTGATTACCGGTACGTCACTGTCTAGCCAATAAGAAACAAGTAGGGCTGTCGTGGTGAAGGAATTTCCATTGTTGTAATTTCGAGTAACTCAACAGCGTGATATGCGGAATTATCTTCATTTATTTATTGCTAAATAAATAAGTGTTACGCTGTGGTCAGCAGGCACGAAGACGAGTACATGTTCAGTAATGAAACCGAAATTAAAAAGCCCATTGAAACGAAGTATAGTAAACCGAAGATAATGTCAAATAAGGTCCCACATAATATAATAACAGAACATAAACCTTACAATAAGCTTTTTAGGCCATTGTTATATAACAGTTAGTTTCGATCCTCGAATCTCTCTTTACTAAAGGCTTTCTGCTTATATTTTACCATTTACTCGGCACTCGCTCAGTCCAGTTACATTGTTACGCCATAGGTGAAGACAAGGGACTGTCTTTGAGTGAGTCATTAAACTGTTCATTCAACGGAAATGTAAAAAAATGCGGATTCATTCAAATATAGATGTAATGAAACAAGCTGTTAATTATTTTAATATTTAATTTTAACTTTGAGCTCCACTTTACAAGGCTCAGCTGAGCAGCAATGCGGCGCATGGGCAACGCGAAGCTGATGCTTCACTTCATAGAGATTAATGGCATTGATTCATTGTATTGACCAGAGCTGACGCCATTCATTAGAAATAGCCTAGAAAAAGGATAAATTTTTTTTTTTATTATTCTCTTTCCTTGGTCACGGCAACCTTTTCACGAATATGACTTGATATGAAGGACAGATATTTTGTTTACATCCACTTTTCTGCTTCCGATCTGCTGCGTGAGATCACGTGAGCGCGTCCTCTGGCACGATAATCTTAATAACATTGTGTAGTGTGTGATGCGCCGCGATTTTCAAATCTTGTGTGATTTCAAAAGTGTGAGCATGTTTAAGATTTGAGGAAAGAAAATCTGCAAAGATTCTCCTTAAGTGTGAGCTGCAACCAGATTTCACAATCGGTTAGGATTTTAAAACTCCTGTAGTGTGAGCCAGGCATTAAAGGGACAATTCTTCCAAAAATGAAAATTCTGTCATTTATTCGCCCTCAAGTCTTTTCAAACCTGTGTTTATTTCTTTTTTCTGTGAAAGACAAAAGAAGATATTGTTTGGGAACCCAAACTGTTTAGTTACAAACATTCTTCAAAATATCTTCTTTAGTGTTCCACAGATGAAAGAAAGCCATAAAGGTTTGGAAAGACATGAGGGCGATTTGATTTTATTGGTCGGATTTTTTGGTCGGACTTTCCCTTTAAATATGAACGTCTACAATATTGATCAGAGTGAAATAGTTTGTGTATTAATTATGGACAAAAATGTGTTGTTCTTTGTACTTGTGCAGGTCTTTCTTTTCTTTTCTTGTCTTTTTTTTTTTTTTTTACAGGAATAGACGCATACAGACAGTAATATATATGTAACGCAAAGGAAAACATTCTGAGGGAAAGTTAACTGGAAAGATGAAATTTAAATCCATGAACTTACAGCACTAATTGTTCTGTCTGTTGCCATTGGTTTTAAACTGATGTTTTAATGGGAATGCTAATCAATGTTTCACACAAGCTTGGGGCATAGATCAAAACAATTAAACATTACAATACAACATAATTATCTAACCACAGAACTGTTATTAATACTGACCAACATAAAAAAAAATATTTCAAAGACTTTGAGCATACTGTATGTTGAGCATACATCTATGTTCTTGTAATTAAACTCTTGTTCAACTGTGAATAAAATGGGAATGATACCACCCACATGGTCTCAATTTCTCCAACCATTAAGGACCTCACAACAGTCTGATGGAGCTGGAGTTACATCCTGTGGTGCAAAGCTGTTGAGTTTGTTGCAAGTAATAAAACAATCGAGAGAGACATGCTGTGAAGCGAGGAAGTAAATATCCTCAGTATTCTGTATCAATCTATGTCTCAGCAAGAACCGAGGAGTTGTCTTTGTGATTAAGGACACATGGTCCACAAGGGCACTGTAAATTACTAGGTAACCATACTCATTACTTACAGTTTAAATGACAGCAGTATTCTGTCCTATCTCAGAACAAAGAAATGAAAGATCCTCACAGCATGCACTGAATATGCTCTACTAATTAGAGAAAATGATGACTGAATAGCTTAATTGAATTGATCTGTCTTTTTTAACAGAATCTGACATGCCTTGCAAATGATATTGCAATACAGATTCTATTTAAGATTCAGTTGACTCTCCCCATCTGGTCTTGTCCGAAGAGTTTTGATAGATTTTATATTTGCATGTTACATGTAATTATGCATAATTTATGGTTACTACAGTAACTACATGTAACAGGTGTAGCAAGGACACTGTAAAATAAAGTGTCACCGTGATTTGTAATACAACTTCAACACAATAAGTAACACAATAAGTACATTGTACTTGTTTTTTGATGAAAGTTCATAGTTAAAGATGCAGTCCGTAACTTTTTGGGGTTAAAAATTATCCAAAATAAATCTTTGAGAAAGTACATCACCAGCCAGTGTTCAAAACTATCTGCTTGCCTTGGCTCGATTCAAAACGGTAAGCTTGTAATAATGTTTTTAATTCCAGTGGTACTGAAAGTATAATTTGTACGATTTGACGTGATATGATAAGCGATCGTTAGATTTAATCAGCGCGATTTACGGCAATGTTTTTTTTTTTCCCTTAGTTGGTCAGAACAAAGTATCCACACCGGCACGGTGACTGACAGCCGCACATTCAAAACATTGGATTCATCCACGCTGTGCCGTGCCGAGGCACAACCCACGTAAAGTTGATAATTCCACGAATAACTGCAATTGCAGATTTCAAACAGAGATGGCGACAAAGAGGAAAAACTACGGACTGCAGCTTAAGACACCTATAGTGCAGTCATTTTATGAAAAAAGGTAGAACAAATTGCAACAGAAGCAAACTCAACTGATTTTGTATCCTCAATGTCCTGAGTAAGGGAAAAAAAAGCCCCGAAGAATCCCATTAGGGGGAAGTTTAGAAAAAGACCCAAAGCCTATTCATTCTTTCTCTCACGTGAATAGGGTAAAAATTTTAACCTTTAGATATCACCATGAAAATGACTGAGTTGATTACTTGCGTCAAGACAAACAAAAAATGTATTACAAGTTTTTAAACTTGTCGTCTTGATATTCTTCAACACCATTTCGATTATATTTATGAGCCCCTAATTTGCACGGAGAGGAATTGGGCCATAATGTCTGATGTATT